ATATTCTGGAGATAAAAATTAAATTACAAATACAAATAATAATTAAAATTTAAAAATATACTTAATTTTTTAGCATTCTCCTGTTTAACTAAGACAGTGTTTCCCAAAGTGTGGTACGCGTACCCCCAGGGGTACGGGAACAGTTAAGCGGGGGTACGCATTCTTANTTAAATTACAAATACAAATAATAATTAAAATTTAAAAATATACTTAAATTTTTAGCATTCTCCTGTTTATCTAAGACAGTGTTTCCCAAAGTGCGGTACGCATACCCCCAGGGGTACGGGAACAGTTAAGCGGGGGTACGCATTCCTATGTGAAATATCTTGCAACAAACAAAAATTTCAAAAAATTTAATTTAAAAACAAAGCTAGCCACAAAAATGTACGATTACGTATTTTTCGTTTGGCTATTTTTTTCAGAGTTAACAGTTAATAATTAGGAGAGTCAACAGCCAGTTGTGATTTCTAACTTTCGTGCACATCTTTATAGTAAAAATTACATTAATTTTTTATTAGTGTTACACAGCGTTACGAAAAATTTATAAAGGGTACATAAAAGTCATAAGTTTGGGAAACACCGATCTAAGATATACTCACGTCAAATACCTTTATAAAGTCATGTAATGCCCTGGAGAGCCTGTTCACAAAGATATATTTTATTAATTGTATTTTTTATTTACATACAAAATCTAAAGTTTGTTTTGGCGAGTTCATAACAACAACCACAATCTAATAGACAAAATTTGAAGGAACAAGACTCCAGCAACCTGTGCCATGTTGCATACAATGGGATACAATAACTGATGATGCATTCCATATTGGATTCAGTTGCGGTAAATCATTTCTAATAACATAAAATAAAAAATCAAGTCTTTTCCGAATTCTCACAAAAGTGAAAAAGAATTCTTTAACAGCACTTGCAGTTTGGCTAATATGGTAGCCAAATAGGATATTTTGGTTCTATTTGAAACAATGGAGATCAGTAGCGATAAACCTACATACAATAGAATCTACAAATCCAAATAATTTGAAATAGCATTACTTTGAAGAAATACAAATGAAAAGAATATTATTAAGAATATTATACACATCATCCTTATCAAAGAAAGAAAAGTTAGGCCAATAATACAATAATTTATAAAAAAACAAGTTTTCCATTATTAATTATACTAAGAAATAAAAAATACACAACCTATAAAGATCATGTTTCCATATTCTTAATAATAGAAACAATATAAGTAGACAATAAAACAATAAGGAATTTAAGATGAGGATGATGTAAAAACAGACGAGAAAATATTTTCCAACATTCTCTTCAAGAACTTGAATTTTGCAAATGAATAATTCGAAAGCCATAAAAAAAACATGATGCTTGAGCGGGAAAACAAACACAGATTTGAACTGTGGTTTAATATAAGAAATGGTATAATTCAATTGTGAGATAGCGAATGAAAACTATGATAAAACATCTTAAAAAGTATTAATCATATTTGTGTTTGTAATAAGCACATATATATATATTATTGCTTTAGCTTATCAAGCTAAAAAGACTTGTGCTACACATAATCAAAAAGTAATTGATTATGAAGCATGAGTAATAAACAAGTCAAAAGAACACAAAACAGGAGAGCCAAAAAAAAAAAAGTTCTTTCTAAATATAGCAAACATGTCACCTTTTGCAACATTATATCTTTAATGTATAATAATATTTAACAATATATCTATAATATGTAATAACTAAAACAAATTTTCACTTCAAACTTACCA